GCAATATATTTGATTGCATTCATGCTGAAGGAATTCCGAGTTCCTGGGAATTGGCAAGTCGATGGAGCTGAGAACAGGGTTTGGGAGATGGAAATAGACAGTGATGCTGGTGCCATGCTGTGATGTGGAGATGTTGTGGCAGGGGAGTAAGGAGCGATCGGAGGAGAGCGAACGTGACGGGAGAAAGTTTGCCGAAAAAGCAACCGGCGCAATTTCAGAAACCTTCCAATATTTTCTTTGCGCGAATCACCGCCAACAGGCAAGACATTTCAATACAACCCAATCTGATCGCAGGTCACCCACCAACCGGTATCTACCATACGAGCCACCTCAAAATAGAGCTAGATATTGTCACACTCGCAAGCAGATCCTCTAAGTTCTTTGGCTCCTTGTTGCGTGGATCTGCACAACATTGTGCCGTAAACCCAGCACGACAGGCACAACAGAACCTTCACAGCTGATTCAAGTCGTTGACCCAACCCCACGGATTGAGCTGTCAAGTTTTATTGAAACAGTGTTACCATTTCAAGGACAAAACTCATTGATTGTCCCGTGTTAAATTCCGCCTTGGAATCAAACGACGCTTCGACAAAATGCTCTCCGAAGGTTTCATTTCGGCCATTCGAGCGCAACCAAAGTCTGCGAATAGTGCCATTGCGAAAGATGTCGGTATATACGTTCACGAATTGCATCCAACCCATGTCGTCAAATCGTCCTTCAAAAAGAGCTCAGCACCTGTGAATGCTTTGGTTGCGAGCTCAACCCATATTTTCACAGCGCAGGTGGATAAAGCTGTCGTCCATGTCTATTCGAGGGACCGAGGCAATCAAGAAGCATTGATATCATTTCCGGAGCGAATACATAGTCTGGCTCTGGTTGGAGATAGTGTGTTGGTATTGGGAACGGCGGAAGGAAGAATAATACTTTGGGAGGCAAGTCTAGCTCAGTCGAGATGCAAACAATTGCTAATTTTCTGCAGGTCTGCACAGGACGAACCATTTCAACGCCCGCAGCTCATCTACAAGCAGTCTCTTGCATAGCCGCGACAAACTCCCATATAATCACGGGCTCTGAGGATTCCAATGTCCATGTATGGTCGGTTCCCCACCTGCTCTCCCTGGGTTCAAACGAAACACACGAGCCTCTTCGGAGTCTGTCCAACCATCGTGCCGGCATAACATCTGTCGCGATAGGCCACAGTGCGGGATCCACCAATATCTGCGTTTCGGCGAGTAAGGACAACACAATCATTGTTTGGAATTATTTGTCGGGTGATCTTCTTCGGACGTATTTACTTCCTTCAACACCACTCTGTCTAGCCCTCGACCCTTGCGACCGTGCTACATACGTAGGATTCGAGGATGGCTCAGTCCAGCTTATCGAATTCCTGCAGTCAAATTCTAGAATCAACCCACTATTCGACACCAACCTACAGACCACGCCGGAGCAAATAAAGATGCCCCCTTGGACTACACCATCTGAAGCGGGTGCAACCTTTTGCATCGGCCTTAGTTACGATGGCACCTGTCTCTACTCTGGGCATGCATCTGGCAAAATCTCCCAGTGGGACACAGGCCGACGTGCTTTCTCCTCCGAACTTGCTGATTTAAATGCTCCTGTTACCAATCTCCTAATGTTATCACCATTCCCGGCACGCAGATTGACCCGAGCCACCACAGTGGTAAAGCCTAAACTTGGCGAGGCTCAATATACCCTTTCTGTTCAACTAACCGGGTCTTTGCAATCTGATCCTATCAGCCAAGTAATTCAAAATTCAGGGTTTCCACCCAGCCTGCTTGAAGATGCAATTGCAAGGTTTTTGGCACCAGCGGCCACGTCTTCTAGTGAAGATGAAAGTCTTCGGAAAGAGAACGAAGAACTTTGGAAGGTTGTGCAAGAACAACGAGACCTACAGAAGAAAACATGGGAAAAGTATAGCAAGCTGAAATCCGATGGGTCCTAACCATGAACTTGTTTCAGGCTGTGCTTCAATAAGTCTGTGCATCTAAACACCACGACGCAACTATATCAGGGGTCTTTGCTCGACGTCTTTCCTTTTCGCTAAGCAGATTGCCGTCCAGTTCTTACTGGTCCAGCCATACATAATAGATAGATAACAAAATCTGTATCTCCGATTGTCGCATTTGATCGACTTATCCGTGCGAAGCGAAAGCTTGACTATATTCCGAGACTTTTTTTCATGCACTAGGCGAAAGCTGCAGGGTCCCCATCCATGGCATGGTGTGTCAGAAATTATCACAAACCCAACTCGTCTCAAGGAACATCCACTGCTGAATTAACCCCACTAACAGGGACGTTCAAAGAGAAAATTGGTCAAAATGAAGTCAAAGTATCGGCCTCCTGTAGGCTTAATCGGCATTTGATGTTCAGAGGGTTTCAGGGCCAGCTATGAAGGGAGAACAGCCTATCCGGTTGAGTCTACCTGTATGACTGTAGGAATACTTTATCAATCCAACACCCCATAGTTTCCAGAAATCAGATGCTCCAGCTTAGCATTAGAAGGGAGGGTCAAGATGCATGTCAAGGTCGTTATTCAGATACTCGCTGCCCTGGCGGTAGCGATATCAGCTTCTCCTGTTATAACGCCGAGCCATGTTGTACATGAACGACGATCGATGCCGCCACAAAATTGGTCGAAGCATTCCCGTCTTCATCCAGCATCAGTCTTCCCAATACGGATTGGCCTTGCTCAGCAGAACCTTCACCGAGCCGAGGAATTTCTCAACCAGGTCTCTCATCCTTTATCGGCTGATTATGGAAAACATTGGTCGCCGCAGAAGGTTGCTGACATGTTTGCTCCGAGCGCAGAGACAGTCTTCGTGGTAAAAGCGTGGCTGTCTGGCGCCGGTATTGACCTGAAAAGGGTCAGAATGTCCGCAGGGAGGAATTGGATGGAATTCAATGCCACGGCTATGGAGGCGGAAAGGTTGCTGAAAACGGAGTACCATCTGTACAACCATGATACAGGACATAAGCATATCGCCTGCGAGGAATACAGTATCCCTTCCCATCTCACAGAACATATCGACATAATCACACCAACCGTCGATTTTGACAAGAAGATTGGATCAACTCGGCGGCTACACAAAGACGATCAAATTCCACCTCCTTTACAACATCTCAACAAGCGTAATAAACGCGAACTTGGTAAAGCAATCGTCGGCTCGGCTACTGATGCATCAAACCCAAAGCAGGGAGCCGCAGTTGTCAATGCGCTGATGACCTTGGAGAACTGCGATTCCATGATCACACCGGCATGCCTCCAAGCACTCTACGATATGCCACCCGGAAGTAAAGCAGCGACAAACAATACCATGGGAGTTGTCGAATATACACCCCAGGCTTTTCTTCAGAAGGATATGGACATCTGGTTTAAACAGTTTTCTCCTAATCAAGTCGGTCGAGCACCGAACACAAATCTCATTGACGGTGCGATTGTTCAGACAATGAACCAGAGCTTTTCTCTAAATGGCGAGTCTGCTCTCGATCTTCAATATGCTATGGGTCTGATCTATCCTCAACAAGTCACACTCTATCAAGTTGGCGATATTGTGGCTGGTGGCAGTTTCAACAATTTCCTTGACGCCATCGACGGCAGTTATTGTACATTTATGGGAGGAGACTCGAAGGACCCAAACATCGACGCCCAATACCCCGATACTCAACCAGGTGGCTTCACTGGTCCAAAGAACTGCGGCGGCTTCACCTCAACCAACGTCATATCAACCAGTTATGGCTTCAACGAAGCCGATCTAGGCAGAAAATATGAAGAGCGCCAATGCGCCGAGTATATGAAGCTCGGCCTCCAAGGTGTAACGGTCCTCTACTCCTCTGGTGATTTCGGTGTTGCTGGAAATGGTGGGCAATGCATCAACCCCGTCACAGGCGCATTCAACAACGGCTCCACCGGAATGTTCAACCCCTCCTTTCCAGGCGGTTGCCCTTGGATCACCTCTGTCGGCGCAACACAAATCGTCAATGGCTCAACCGTACGAACTCCAGAGATTGCTTCTCAGAAAGTTATTTTTTCTGGGGGAGGTTTTTCGAATATCTTTGCCATGCCAAGTTATCAAAGTAATGCAGTGAAATCATACTTCTCAAACAATAAAATCCCCTATGGCGCCGAACGCTTCAACAATTCCCAGACTGTCCGCGGCTTTCCAGACGTGTCAGCCAATGGTGTAAACTACGTCGTAGCTGTAAATGGACAGTTTTCTCTCGCTTTTGGAACATCTGCGTCCGCCCCAACTTTTGGAACCATGATTAATATGATTAATGAAGAGAGAATTGCAGTGGGGAAGAAGCCGGTTGGGTTTATTAACCCAGTTCTGTATGCAAATCCGACGATGATGACGGATATCAGATTCGGTGGAAATCAAGGGTGTGGTACACCGGGTTTTAATAGTACTGATGGTTGGGATCCCGTTACAGGACTAGGGACGCCGAATTATCCGGCGATGATGAAGGTGTTTATGAGTTTGCCTTAATTTGGTGCGGGAAGCAAAGAGTTAGCTAAGTGTTAGAGGACTTGAAAGAGCTTGGATTTTGTGTTGCCACTAGATGTTGGCTTTGCTTTGGCTTGTATACAGACATACCCTCCTTGTATAAAATTTCGAATACTAGACTAATTTATATCGTATACTGTTCCTCTACGGATTTGCCTTCTCCCATTCCATTTTATAGCCGAGATTAGTGTGCGTTGCCGATGTGGAGACCCCGCGATTGTGACAGCTCGTCGCTTAAGGTGGTCCAAAATACAGAGCAAGATATCAATCAAATGTATGACTGAGGAGTAACGCAGAAAGTGTGCATCTTTTCTCTGGACACTTATTCCTTGAGGAGCGAATTACATCTTCCCAGCTCACCATATGACTCACCTGGCCTCGTCCCCCACCCGACTCCCTAGCCAATTCTTCAATTTGGCAATTCCTCCAGCTATGATTTATATTCTAAAATAAGCAAAATCGTATATTGAGTAAGGCGCTTTGGTGGAGTGGTTAACACGTGGGCCTGCTATGTACCATTCCTGGTAACAGCAAAGCTCATGCCTTCGGGCGCGTAGGTTCGAATCCTGCAGGCGTCGGCTGATGATAAGTTAAGTTTTTGAGTTATTTATCATTACAAGATTTGGTAGTATGGTTTTGTGTTGGGTTATTTATAATTTTTTAAGTGGGAGTTTGTTTATGCGATAAACACGAATAGAAGGGAGGGTTAATTTACAAGGTAGGTAGTATGATGGCATTGTTAATCACACATTTATCACCACAATAACTTGTCGAATCCTATTTATGTCTCACGTTTCCTAGTCGACTATAATTAGTATCCTCTTAATGCATTTATATGAGCAGTAGTAAGATTTTCACTATAATTCCCCGATATTTTTCAGTCTACGCCTCTCAATAACGAATCTTTCTTGATTGTTTACAGGATGTTTATATCAATTCAAGTATAGATTGCAAATCTTTTGACACATTTATCTAGTATCCAACTAGCTACCTGAAATTCTTTTTACCTAGCGACACTCTGTATTCTAAATAAAGCGCATAGTAGCATGCCAGTGGGACGGTATGCTTGGAGCCAGGTGTATAGTCCAGCAAATCTATTGTTTTACTTGCAAAATAACTTGGCAGAGCTAGGCACTTCCTGATCGAGCCCTGATGAGGAGTTAATCACACCAGTCTTTTTACTCGTCTCATTTCTTGAGCCAGGATCTTATTTACAACGACCACACTTTAAACCAAACCCACCTACATATAGTATCAAGATGCATTCCTCGACAACCGCATCATATAATAAAACCGATAAACACCTCACCCCCTATTATCCCCCTTCCCATCCTCCTCTTCCCCTCTTCTTTTCTCTTTCTACCCTCTCCCTCAACCTACTCCCTCAAATCCACCTCTAAGTATCCCTCCACGCCCTTCACCCCTGACTTTCACATAACGGCCTCCCCACTAGACTAGCGATCAAAAGATATAGAACCCCTTCCCAATCTGCTTTCTCGTGTCCCATAACTAATATCGCAGTGCTAATCCTGCAGCGTTGGTAAGAAGGGCGTGTCGTAAGGAGTGCGAGGTAGATGCATTTTGTGGGGGCGAGCCAGGTAGAGAGGAAAGATTTGAAGGTGGTGTCAAGATATTTTTCGATGGGAGTTACCTTTCTTTTCTCCTTTTTTCATGCCTGCTTTCAAGGAAGGCAACAGGAACCCACCCCTCCCATAATCGCATCCCACCTCTACCCTCAAACTTATTCCATACCCTCTCAAATGCCAAATGGCCAAATCACCAACCCTGCTATCTCCTCGCTTTCCCTATCCACAGCCTTCATAATCATCAAGCCCTCAACCCCCGGTTCTCCTCCAGCCATTCAACCAACTCATCCTTAATTTCCTTTTCGGATCTAACGCACAGCTGCAAGAAATATAGGGGATTAGGACTTTCAGTGACGAGATACATGTCTACTAGGTTTGATATGTTGAAGCGAGTGTTGGGAAGAGGTGGGGTTTGTCTGATGGGGGTATAGAGTCCAGAGGGAGAGAGGGTGTTTAGCGCGCATTATTTTAGTGAGGGTACCCCAAATGGGGGAAATAATGAAAGGGTTTAAAATTACATAAAGGGGGAAAAGAAGATTTTTTGATTTTGAGAGTTGATTGGGATACCCGTGAGGTTGTTGACTACATGGGGTTGCGTAACGTCAAGTGTTCCGGGTATTCTTGTCGCCGATACGAGTAGCACAGATAGACGACGAAATGAGTAAACGGCAGTATTATTTGCATAAAGAGAGCTAGGGGTGATAAGATAAATCACCAAACGTCGTGTATGCTTTGAAATAGCCATTCTTGTCTTATAAGCCTGATGGTTAATTCTAGGCTTTGATGTAGTCAATTTCCTTATAAACCTTGTAGACGCACTTTAAAAATCATGACTGGGGTTAAACTATATTTGACTCTAAAGCGAAGTTCAAAGTGAAAGAAGATCACTTATTTTGGTTTGATCAATAGCAATTACTACCACACAAGTGATGCTCGGCTCTATGTTTTCTTTAGTTCTGTTTTGGTATATGGGCCTGAGCAGCTACCACTTTTAACCTGAGCTGAGGGTGAACATTCTTGAGCATTCCTGGGCTCACCCTAACCTTGACCTGAACACAAGCCATATTTACCCTGAGCATGCACTACGGAGTCACTTTAGCTCCCAAAGCGGATCAATCCGGCTCTCCTAGTTCTCGGCCGTACTTCGTTTTCCTGTCTCCAAGTATAGATCCCATTTTGGCTCACTTGCTCCCGAAACTCCCCGGAACCATTTTAGATCTATATTCGTTCATATTCATGTAATAAGTAACTCAGACTCACTAATATTGACAGGGCGAGTTTATATAATACGAATTCAGTAGCATTCAACCTATTCCTCCTTGCTTTGGGGCATTTCATACTATAATTCACTGGGTGTTTCTTTCCCTTTCTCTTAATATTTGTTCGTTTGTATGATGCAAAGGGCTAACATGCTCTAGAAGCGAGTTTAATTCCCTTGATGCTTATTCATACAAAATATTATTTAAATGGGGGTGCACGACCTCTATGAGTTTAACTCAACGGTTTTAGGGTTGGAACTTCGCTTACCAAGTATGCTGCGCACCGGGATCCCGAGATCCCGTCCCGTCCCGTCCCATGGGACCCCATGGGTGGGACGAGATAATATTTTGCCCCCACTGGGATGGGATGGGGTCCTTAGTTGACCCCAATGGGATCCCAGTGGGGGCCCTATATCGGATTATATAATTTCATGTGATGTTTTAATTTTAAAAATAAAACTCAGAATGTTATACTAACCTTTATACTAACCCAGTTCTATTATATAGATATGAAAGTTTGATAGAGTAATTAAAGAATATTTTATATAAAGTAACTTTATTTTATTCTTCTTTGTTTATTCGACCTATAGCTCCTAGTTACAGGACCTAGACTGCTCTCTCTACTAGGAGACTCAGAAGAAGGAATAGCTTATATCTCGGGATTAGAGTCTTTATTTAACTCTCGGGCCTAATATAGTCTTTTGCCTTTAACTTGGTCTTGTATAGACGAAAGTGGCTAGTCAAGATAAGAAGACTAATATAAAGCTTTTCAAGTTTTGTAATTCTAATAATTCTAGTAACGTTTAGTTCGAGCTACTATTTCTTCTTCTAGATTATTATTATTAATATAACTATATAACTTACTATTATTAATATACTCTTGATAGACCTCAAGATCTTTTCTCGAGCTTTGATTTTAATCTCTATATCTTCTTTTATTATATCTTTTATCTCTATAATAAATTCTAGACTAGTTTATAACTAGCTAAATCGTAAATCTTGATTTATAAAGTAATAAACAAGAACAAGAGAATATAAAGTATTAGATAAAAGCTATTTATATTAATAATTATATATACTACAAATAGAGCTAAAGACTTACTTTATATTAATATTAGCTATTAAAATATAGAGAAGGTCTTGAGTTATTACTATTAACTTAGAAAGCTATATTTCAAGTAATTTCTAGACAAAGAGTAAAAATTAATTATTAGATTTTATATTAGAGTTAGTTTAAAATTAATATAAAGATTAATATAAAGTAATATATTTATTATAAGCTATTTATTAATTTTAGAAGATAACTCTTTTGACTACCTTCGATAAGGATTATCAAGATTCTGATTATAATATTTTTAATCTAATATAAGAGCTAATAAGTCTAGATTTACCTCTCGAATTTAGACGAGTTATTCACAAGTTATTAATTGATTATTATATTCTTTTTTATATAATCTCCGAAATTAATCTTCGAACTTCTTTACTTAATTTCTTTTCTTATAATTTAGCTAGCAATAATCCTTATCAAATACTTAAAGCTTAGACTTTAAATTTAGAATTACTTTAATATTATAATAACTTCTAAGACTAGAATATATTTTGTTATAATATTAATCAAGTTTTCTCTCGATAGAATTAATAATATTAATTAATAGTTTTATTCAAGAATATTTGCTTATTTTAGTATTAAACTAATATTATACTTTATTTAAATATTTATATAATTTATTATAAATATCTAGAGTATAAAATAATATTATTTCTAATATTTTTCTAATTATAATTATAAAGAAATTAAATAAATATAATATATCTATAAAATATCTAAGCTTTTGCTATTTAATAAAAGAAAATAAAAAAGACTTAATAAATTCAAAATCTCTATAGAACTTATTAATTAAATCCCGAAGATATAAAGCCTGAAAAATTATATAAACTATTAAATCTTATTAAGTATAAATATTTTAAAATAAAACAAGAATAAAATCTTAAGATTAAAAAGACTCCTGAATCTACTCTATCTAATTTACTCAAATTAATATTTTTATTAACTACTTGAATTTACAAGTACTAAAAGCTTATATATCTAGATAAAATAATTAATATAAAAATTAATATAAAGAATATTAAATATATATACTTTAGCAAGAATATATAAAATATTTTGGTTTTCTATAGTCTTAAACTTCTCAAGGTCTAATAACTCTTTTTGTACTTTCTAATTTAAAACAAAAGTATTATTTGTTAGTCTTAATCGAATTTGACCTAGAAGTACTTGAAGGCTAAGTTAAATTATATACGAAAGGTATAATATATACTAAATCTCTTCTTGAATATATTTCGAATAAATTATCTTCTCAAGATATAAGTTAAGCTCTTCAACAAGAGTAATATTTGAGCTTATATTATTTGTAGTTATTAAAGTAACTCGACTAGTAAGGTATCGTTTTTCAAAAAGAGTATTAATAACTTTTGCAAGTATAGCTCTAGAATAAACTCCTATAAGACTCTCAAATCTAATAAGCTTAGAGTATAGTATTTAGTTCTTATTAATATAATAAGCAAGAATATCTATAAATAATAATCGTTTTATACTTGACTAACAATCTAGTAAGACTATAACTTTGCTATTAGAAACTAGATCTACAAGTATATTTTTTTCTACTTTAGACACAAGAATATTTAAGTAATTTTGTATTATTATAATAAAAGAAAGAGGAAAGTTAGTATTTT